GTCTTTTGGAAGTCCTTTCAAGCTTCTGGTCACTTTTTCTGCATATACCACATCCCCCCATCCATGATCATTTAGGTATTACTGTGCCACCCTTAAATGAGAGCATGTCTTCTTAGCAGCTTCTGGTGACCTGAAATAGACAGAGATCCATACATGATACCAGCAAAGAAAGAGTCTGCAGCTTGGTACTCTATTTTCTTATTTTGTACATAGCTGTACGCCCATGCATATTAATTATATGCTCCTGATTAGTATAAAGAAACTGCTTCTACCTTCCCTTCAGAAAACATTTCAGCATGTAGAGATAAGTCTAGAGATGAAACAATATGCTCTGCTGGGAAAGCCTACAAAATGTAGGCTCTCTGATAGTGTATGCTTTTAGACTCTGCAGAATACTTTAGACCCAGAGGGAGGCTGTTTCTCCTGTTGTCTATTGGGAGTTAGTAATTGTGGCCCACAGTTTCATATAACTCATTGGTTGCAAAGAATATAAAGTACTATCATCTCCTCAAATACAATTTAGCTGCAGCACCCCATTCCTTTAGGTCACATTTTGTTCAGGTTTGTTAAAGCAGTGGTCCCCAACCCAGTCCTCATGGACCAACAACAGTCCAGGATTAATGTATTTCCCTTTTTTATTCAAATAGAGATACTGACAAAACTTGTGCTGTTGGTGGTCCATGAGGAGTGGGTTGGGGACCAGTACTTTAAGGAACAATAGATTTGTGAGAAATAGGCACTTAGATTATCTTGTGTAGTAAACCCTAAGGTAATTAGTAGTTAGACCCCCCGCGTGGGTTATCTCCTAATATACCAGACTCAAACCATACATTAACCAATAGTAAATTTGTTGTGCACCGCAGCGCAAACCAAAGTAGAGCATTAAACAGTACACGTAAAATATTCACTCACTCTTATATGGAGGGCGTGACTAAAATATTTTGAAACCCGAAAGAGAAAAACACTAAACAAATAATCATGTAATAGTGCTTGAAAATCTGATATGAATCAAATGTGTGTTAAAAAATCCAACTCACATTTTAAGGGACCTCAATACTGCTTCCATTATATTAGTTTGTGTACATTTAAGGAGGTACAAGCCTTTCCTCTTTATATAGCAGCAATACCCCAAGGCAAAAAAAAAAAATGGAGAAAGAAAGCAGTTGTGCAGAATGTTTTCTTTCTGAGATATTTGTCCAATCATCAGTACGGAAGTACAAAGTCCTAACATTCTCCAGCATCTTTTGCACTCTCGTGCATACCGGAAGAGAATTTTGGCGATTCTCCTGGTTGTCACTTCTGGTTAAGCCCATGTAACAGGCAACCAATAGGATGTAATGTGCACCCATTATGGCGCTCCTTCTCTCTGATCCAACGGCGGGACAGACACTGCACACTGCTTGTGCGTGTCTGTTTGTAGACTGTCGACGCCGACAACACAAAGGTGTGACTGAATCTGAGCGCCAATTAGGTCGAACCCAATAAAGACCTGAATTCGGCATTTAACTGAATTCCAGTCTTAAGGCTCTCCAAAATTATGCCAACCAACAATTTAAGTGTCCTGGTTAGAGCAAGTTGCCCTGTTGTTGTTCTCAAATACCCCAGAATACATTTATGTTATATTTGATTCTCTGTTAATATCCCTGACTTATTTAACCATTTCCCTGCTTCTCTGTGTTCCTGACCTTTGGGCTTGTTTATCAATTGTCCTGTTTTCTCTTTCTGCTCTTCCTTAATACCCAGGCATTTCCATGCAGCATTAATATTGTCTTTCTTAATATTCTCACTGTGGCACAACCATGTGTGGTGAGGGTCTGAAAATCCTCTGACCCTCCGACTTTACCAAATGTGGTTGATGGAGTTAATGATAGTAAGATTTGGAATATGATGTCATCTTCCGTGATAGGTACCCCAGTGTCGTATCCTGGGAGTTTTAGCAGGAGTATGTCACTACTAGATTTTACACTTATGATACTCTACCTCTGGCAATGTTCAGCTATAGTGAGAATTCTAAATGACATAAACGTGCTTTGTCATTTGGTGTATCTTTTTACTGGGTGTGACAAGGTGGAGAGGTTAGGTCGTGGATATTTTGTTTTGTGTCTTGAGTTGCTGTATCACTTATTTTGTTGCCATCTGTTCTGCCAGCGTTTCAACACTTTAGTTTTACAATTATGCAGGATGTCTTTTTACACATTTCTGTTTTTAATATATTATCTGCATCTAGTATTGGTTCCATGGAGACACAAAGTTTTTTTTGGATGCTGTAACGGAGCTCCCCGTACTCCGACCGAGTAACCTCCATTGATGGACGCTTCATAGCTTGCGCCGAGGACCACAAGCACCGCACCGGACACCACAACCACAGAAGACTCCACTGGACTTAACTGGAGCTTCGCCGTCTTCCGTCCACCCTGGATCAGCTTCTGTCCTCCAGGACCGTGGGGGAAAGACCTCTTCCTTCCACCTTGTATGACCCTCCAGCATCCAGGACTGTGTGGGGAAGACCTCTCCTCCAAGGAGAGCATGTCAGGAACAAGATCTTAAAAGAGCTAAGTGATTCAAGCTCAGGGGAGTATGCAGAGCATAGCAATCCCTGTGTGATTATAACAGCTCCCTCCAATAACGAGACAAGGCTACGTTTAGAGTGATCAAGAAGAACTGTCTTAATCTTTATTTTACTTGGGACTAGCCCATATGGTCATTACATTAACAATGCTGTGAAAACTCAATAAAATTACAAACAGCCAAATCATAGCAGGCAACATACAGTGACTTATTATAACACAATGGGTGGGGGAGACAATATCTAGCAGAAAATATCTCACGTGCCTGCAGAATTAGCAATATGCAAATCTACCCGAATATGCAAATGAACCAGTCTTGCTATTCAGGTAGTGCATATTGCTGTTGCTACCAACAGAGGGCACTAGACAAGCTCCATAGCCAAATCCACTTGTTGGTAGCAAACCTCAGCAGTACAGGAGAGCAGGGAATACATTTCACAGTACACACACACACTATAAACAATTACATTACACACACCCTGCACCTATAATGGGTACAGGGTGACTAAAACATAAGCGTAATAAAGCAACCTACATAAATAGTCTGTCTGAAGGTAGAATAGGGGCTTTAAAGCCAAATACATCAAAGAGTCATAGTCACAGGGGAGGAGGCTGGCAAGCAGCCCTCCCAGGACCAAGTGGCGAAGGGCCCTTCGTCACAGATGCGTTCTGTTTCATGCATTGTAATACGTGATATTGTGGATAGTTATGGTTGGCTGTTATGAGAACTCATTTTCATGCGGTACTGCATGCTTGAAAAATACTATACACTGCTGAGTGTCACATTTGCGTGTATCTTTTTCCCATAAAAAACTGTAAAATATAAGTTTTTAAAAAAATGTCAGGAGGGAGACTCATTCAATATAATCAGATCAGTATAATGTATAATAGAATGACATTTAGACTGTGTGACTCTGGGAATCTGTCCCTTCACAGAGGCTGTAATACTGGATGAATAACCATAAAACTCAAATCCTGAATGATACCCAATGGAATGCCATGAAACTCCATAGTTATATTAAATGGAAAATCATGAATCCCAGCATGTCTAAGAGTGTATATTCATGTCTCTCAGGTAACTTTTCTGATGATTTGGAAAACAAAATCTTTGATTTAAAAAAATAAAATAAAATTCTATATGCAAATTGAACTCATCCTCTGTCTTCCATTGGAAGATAGTAGTGCTTTGTTGTTTGTTTGTTTTTTTGTTTTATTTCTGCCAACATCAGTTACAATTTAGCGTAATTATCCCAAGAGTTCAAATCAAGATATAGGCCTTTGAACATTTATTGAAAATTTAAAGACATATTTTCAAATTGTTTCATATTTTTAGATTTTTCAAAATGACAGGAAAACTAAAAATTATCACAATAAAATAACAAGAGAATGACACTGGTATGCTCTATTAATCTGCAGACTGTTTCCCAATTTTCTATGGGTAACATTGTGAAGCTAAATAAGTATCTAGCGGTTGAACAATGCATTTTGCAGGGTTCCCCATTGTTAATTGAGTTCCAGTTTTTGTTTTTATTTACTAGTTTTAACCACTTTGACTGATGGCTGCCAATTTTTTCTTAAATATTTTGGATTTAAACAGTTTCTGAAATAATCAGGCATTTCTCATGGCTATTCCAGTGTAATTTGAGTGGGTGTCCATTCAAAGTTTATTGGAGATCACTACAAACAGTGCCGGAATAACATAGGGGCTGATGGAGGTGCAGCTCCAGGCCCAAGCCCATGTAATAGGCCCATTGATTTAAAAAAACTAATTATTTTTTTTTTACACACTACTCTTACGGTTGCCAGGTATTTCTCAGGTATTTCTTAGGGTTGCCAGGTATTTCTCAGAATATTTATCAGGTATTTGAGGCTGCCAAGCCGGTGCCGGTATTGCAGTAATATCGGCAATACAAATGTTAGTCTTAGTATAAACTGAGATTAGATGCAATACTGGCACCGGCTAGTAGGTGGCGCTGTGTGTGTGGAGAGAGGCAGGGATAGGAAGTTACAGCATCTCCCTTCCTGCCTCTTTCTACTCACTGATCCGCGGGGGAGCAGCTCTGCCCAGAGAGTCCAGACAGCAGCTCCCAGCCTGCAGAGACCGCCAACAGCTCAGGTAAGTGAGGGATGGGGGGAAAGGCTGCAGGGAGACATGGGGACACTGAGACACACTGAGACACTAGGGGGCACTGTGAAACATGGGGACACTGACACACTAGGGGGCACTGTGAAACATGGGGACACTAGGGGACACTGGAAGACATAGGGACACTTGGGAACACTGAGACACTAGGGGACACAGAGACACTAGGGGACACTGGAAGACATAGGGACACTAGGGGGCACTGGGAGACCTGGGGAAACTGTGAGTCTTGGTGACACTGAGACACTAGGGGGCACTTGGAGAACTGGGGACACTGAGACACTACGGGAAACTGTGAGACACAGAGACCATGAGAGACTTGGGGACACTGGGAGACATGGGGACACTGAGACAATAGGGACACAGTGGCCACATGTCTCCCAGTGGCCCCATATCTCTGTGTCCCCATGTCTCTCAGTGTCCCCTAGTCTCTCAGTGTCCCCATGTCTATCCCAGTGTCCCCTAGGGTCTGTGTCCCTATGTCTCACAGTGTTCCAATGTCTCTAAGTGTCCCCTAGTGTCCTAGTGACATGGGGACACTGGGAGACATGGGGACACAGACTCTAAGGGACACCAGGAGACATAGGAATACAAACACTAGGGGACACTGGGAGACATGGGGACACTGAAACACTAGGGGCACTGAGAGACATGGGGACACTGGGGGGACATAGGGAGACGTGGAGCACACCCAGTGTCCCCATGTCTCCCTGCCAGTGTCCCTAGTATGTCAGTGTCCCCATGTGTCCCTAGTGTCTCTCAGTGTCCGTAGTGTGCCAGTCTCCCTAGTGTTTCAGTGTTTCCTAGTCTCCCAGTGTCTCAGTGTCCCTATGTCCTCCCAGTGTCCCCATGTCTTCCAGTGTCTGTGTCCACAGAATAAAAGAAAAAATCTCAGGCAGTCACTGTGATAGATTTAAGCAGGTTTATTGGATACCGCAATGTGTACCCAGGTCTTTATCAAGTCTTCAGTGTCCCTTGTGTATCACAGTGTTCCCTGTGTATTACAGTGTCTCAGTGCCCCATGTCTCCCAATGTACCTGGTGTCTCTCAGTGTCCATAATGTCTCAGTGTCCCCTAGTTTCCCTGTGTCCCCATGTCTCACAGTGCCCACAAGTGTCTCAGTGTCACCTAGTATAAGAGAAAAAAGTCACAGGCACTCACTGTGATAGATTTAAGCAGGTTTATTGGACACCACAACGTTTTGACCTGTACCCAGGTCTTTATCAGGTCTCCAGTGTCCCCTATATATCACAGTGTCCCCTTTGTATCGCAGTGTCTCAGTGCCCCATGTCTCCCAGTGTCCCCTTGTGTCTCAAAGTCACCCATTGTGCCCATGTCTCCCAGTGTCCCCAAGTGTCTCAGTGTCCCAAGGTCTCTCAGTGTTCCCTAGTATCTCATTGTCCCCATGTCTCCCAGTGTCCCCTAGTGTCCTAGTAAAATGGGGAAACTGGGAGACATGGGGAAACAGACATGCCCCCTTTTTGGGTATGCTCGCCCCTTTTGTCAGTTCTTGTTATGTGATTTGCGTCAGTGTCCCACCCTTTTACCCCATCCATAGACTTCCTGCTTTACTGGACACTGCTGTTAATGGATTTACTTGAAAGAAGAAAGCATTATATTAGCATAGGGTATGTGTTTTCTCATAGCTGCATCCTATGAGTTTCCCTCCAGCACCATCTCCATCAGATACATGACGCTTGGAAGGTAGGGCTGTTTTAGTGATTTTGGTTGATAAGATTTTGTAATTAGGCCCATCATAATTGTCAGCACCGGGCCCACTGGGCTCTTAATCTGGCCCTGACTACAAAGTTGATTTGTAAACACTATTAGATAAGCTTTCTTATTAAATGTATTTTTTTAAATGTAATTACGGTCTACTTTTAAACTTTTATTTAGTTTCTTCTAAAATATTATGTCTTGTTGACTTTTAGCAGTAGTGTATTAGATAGAATTATCCATCTCAAACAGCTCTTATTCCCTTTTTATGACTCAGGTTATAGCTTGTTTTATGGCAAACTAATTACAGTCGAGGACAATGGAGAGATTTGGATTTAAATAATATAAACAGGAATGTAATTGATTTTTATGTTAAATACCATATTATTGATTTATTGCTCATTAAAGTCTTAGCGAAAATTGGTCCCTTAGGTGTTTAATCTATTGTGCTTTAAATTTATTAGATCTGACGAAGCACTAGCAATTTTACTATTGTTGCAGTGCACTAACGGAGAATGTTTTCATGCAGTAATATGTTTAATTATATTGCTTCCTGATTATAGTTTAAAACATACTTAGGCTGTTTGTTTCACGAGTAACCATGGGAAAGAAGAATGTGCAAAAATACGCTAAATTTAAAATAAAAATAAAAAATGAAATGATATAGCATGACAAGCTGATAATCACAAAGAGTGAGTTAATAAATGCAAAGGGTAACTGCTGCTCTTTTGTATCCCCTTCATTACCAATTTCTTCCTGTGAAAAAAAAATAGCATATTATATTTGAAATGTATACTTGGTAACCACAGAAATGTAGGTTGAAGCAGCTATATTGTTTACAGATTTCTGTTAAAAAAATCTAAATTATGTACGTATGTACAATTGTAATTTATCATTTATTCATTCATCCTTTCCAGACAATATTAGGGAATAAATGTTTGTAGACATTATATGGCATCCCTTATTGTTGTTGTTTAGTCGTTCAGTCGTGTCCGACTCTCTGTGACCATATGGACCATAGCACACCAGGTACATCTGTCAGTCACTGCCCCTCTAAGCTCCAACAACTTCAGGTTCGTGTCTTCAGTGAACTCATCTATCCATCTCCGTCTCTGTCGTTCCCTTCTTTGTGTGCCTTCAATCTTTCCCAGCATCACAGTTTTCTCTAGAGAATCCTGCCTTCTCATTATATGGCCAAAATATTGGCTTCAGCCCTATGATCATCGCTTCCAGTGAACTGTTTGTCTTCATTTCCTGTAGTATTTATCTTGTAGCTTTATTGGATCTTTTTGCAATCCAAGGGATTGTAAACAGTTTTCGCCAACACCACAGTTCAAAGGCATCAATTCTACAATGCTCAGCCTTCTTTATAGTCCAGCTCTCACATCCGTATGTTACAACTGGGAATGCCATAGTTCTTACTCCGGGGACCTTGCCAAGCTTGCCATAGCTTTACTCCCCAGAAGCAAACATCTTTTAATTTCAAGACTACAGTCACCATTTTAAGAGATCTTGGATCCCAGGAAAATAAAATCTGTCACTGCCTCCTCTTCTTCCCCATCTATTTGGTAGGAACTAAGATTGCTGTTTGCCATGATCTTAATCTTTTTAACGTTAAGCAGCCAACCAGCTTTTTCACTCTCTTATTTTACCCTCATCAACAGGTCCTTTAGTTCCTCCTCACTTTCAGCCATCAGAATAGTATCATCCACGTATCTGAGGTTGTTGATATTTCTTCCAGCAATATTGACTCCAGCTTTGGATTCATCAAGCCCAGCCTTACATATTATGTATTCCGCATATAAGTTGAATAAATAAGGTGACAATATACAACCTTGTCGCACTCCTTTCCCGATCTTGAACCGATCTGTTGTCCCATGTTGGGTTCTGACTGTGGCTTCTCGGTCCACATACAGATTTCTCAGGAGGCGGATGAGATGATCTGGTAATCCCATCTCTTTAAGAACTTGCCACATGTTGTTGTGACCCACACAGTCAAAGGCTTTAGAATAGTCTATGAAGCAGAAGTAGATGTTTTTCTGGAACTCTTTGGCTTTCTCTTTCATCCATCATACATTGGCAATTTGATTTCTTCTGCCTCGTCCTCTGCGGAACCTAGCTTTTACATCTGGTAATTTCCGGTCCATATATTGTTTGAGTCGAGCTTGTAGCATCTTAAGCATTACCTTGCTGGCATGTGAAATTAGTGCACTTGTTCGATAATTGGAGCACTCTTTCGCATTGCTTTTTTTGGGATTTGGATGTAGACTGACCTTTTCCAGTCTTTTGGCCACTGTTGAGTTTTCCAAATTTGTTGACATAAGGCAAGCAGAATTTTCACAGCATCATCTTGCAGAATTTTGAATAGTTCAATTGGGATTTCATCAACTCCTGCAGCCTTGTTATTTGCAAGGCATCCAAGTGCCCATCTCACTTTGCTCTCCAAGATTTCTGGTTCCATCTCATTGGACCAACTATTGAGGTTATCACTGCTGTTAAGATCCTTCCTTCAGTGTATTCCTGCCATCTCTTCCTTATCTGATCTTCTTCTAGTCCCTGCCGTTTTTGTCTTTTATCACACCTACTTTTGGTTCCCTACTTTAGAATTTTAGTCTCTTATGAGGATAGTATTATCTTTTATTGGGGTTATATCTATCATGTGTTGAAAATCTTCATAGAACTGGAAAACTTCAGCCTCTTCAGCATCCATGGTTGGAGCATAAACTAGGATCACTGTGATGTTAAATGGCTTGCCTTGAATTCGAATTGAAATCATTCTGTCATGTTTTTGAGTTGTAGCAAGGCACTGCGTTGCCCACCCAATTATTTATGATGGCTACATTTCTTCTGCGGGATTCTTGACCACAGTAGAAGATGTAATGGTAATCAGATGTGAAATGCCCCATTCCAGTCCATTTGAATTTACTAATTCCCAGGATATCGATGTTTAACCTTGTCATCTCATGTTTGATCACATCCAATTTGCCTTGGTTCATAGTTCTAACATTTCAGGTTCCTATGTTAAATTGTTCTTTGCAGCAGCAAACTTTCCTTTCCCCTCCAAACACATCCGCAGTTGAGTTATTTATGATGGGTGTCCTTTTGGCTTTAGCACAACTACTTCATTAGATCTGGTGCTACTCGTACTCGCCCTCTGCTGTTCCTCAGTAATGTGATAGGCACCTTCTCACCTGAGGGGCTCATCTTCCAGTGCCATATCATTATGTCTCTGGTTTTGCTTGTCCATATAGTTATCTTAGCAAAGTTACTGGAGTGTGTTGCTAGTTCCTTCTCCAGTGGACTGAGATTTGTCTGACTTCTCTGCTATGACCTGCCCATCTTGGGTGTCCCTACATGGTATAGCTTATAGCTTCATTGAAGTACACAAGCCCCTTCACCAGGGCAAGGTAGTGATCCAGAAGAGGGGAATCCATTATACCAGTGCTAATTTGGTTGACTAGCAATTTTAGTCAACTAAAATGTTTTAGATTTAGTCAACTAAAATAAAAAATTCAGATGACTAAAATATGACTAAAACTAAAATGGCTTTTTAGTTGAAAGACTATGACTAAAACTTAATTGAAAATTGCCACCAAAATTAACACTGCCTTGTACTTCTAGCAGGGTCTGCAATATTTGCATAGAATAATGGTTATATCACATACACTATGTGTGAGAAAATAGATAAATACAGATCCTCAAACTGCAAAGGGGTATAGGTAAGAACAATGAC